GGACAGAGACTTCTTGGAGAAGAGAAAAAAAGACCTCAATGCTTACCTTCAGGTAATTATTAGGAGTCCTATGCTGTTTGGAAATACAGATTAGTATTTTTCCAGTTGTGTTTAAGTTTGAAAAAAGAAAATAAGAGTATGAAAAAGTGTTTCTTGTTCCTAATTTGAAATTTTTGTCCGTACTTCTTCCTTTCCTTTCTTGTTCCATGCCTCAGTTTCTCTTCTGCTCTACACCCATCCTCTCCTTCCTTCCTTGTATCCTACTTCCCTCATACCTCAATTTGTTCCTCATGTTCTTCTCCTTTGTGACCTCCCTTCCTATCCATATCTACTTCCTACACTTCCATTCAAATTTGGAAAAGTCTGAGATTTTTATTTTAAAAATACACATGAACTCCGACTTGCAGACTATGTCAGTACTCTTTAGTTTCTATTTGCATTGTCGTGTGTAAATGAGTGTTTCTGTGTGTGTGTGTTTCAGTTGCTGCTAAACCCAGAGATGGTGAAGGCCTGTCCAACTTTGATTCCCTACGTCTATGACTTCCTAGAAAACAAGGCCTACAGCAAGGGCAAAGGAGAGTTTGCACGAAAGGTCTCTGCGATTTTCCACATGAAAATGATTTCTTCTTATTTTTATTTAATCTGATAAACATTGTGCATTGTCGGGATCTCTAACACTAAATGTGAGTGTTGTGTTTTTGGTGCTTCGTCTTCAGATCGACACATTTGTGAATCCTCTGCGGAGCTCCATGAGGAACATGTCCAATGCGGTGAAATCCCTGCCAGACAGCCTGGCTGAGGGAATGAATAAAGTCTCTGACAACATGGGCCGCATGTCAGAAAGGCTTGGTCAGGACATCAAACAGAACATATTTAAGGTCAGTAAGATCCTTATTAAGTGAAATATATCTGTTCTTATTTTTTTAAGTTTCCAAAGGTGTTGAATTTGTTTTAAAAAGGGAAGAAATATAAGCAAAAGGGATGGATTTGTTTTCTAAGACAGGAGCTAACAGACCAGTACTCTATCCAGAGATTTGAAAATAATCTGTGAGCCTCATCTGTCTATAATTCACCATTCGTCACAAAAACTATCCTTCAAAACCCTGAAAAATTGGTAACACTTAAGTATGTTTTGACTCCTTCTCCTGTTCTGACATCATTGTTACTGTGAAATGTGCTTATTTTCTCTCCAAAAGTCTATTGCTAGAATGACTCTGTTACTTGCACCTAACTGCCTTCGCTGTGGTCTTGCTGTAAAAACATTATTTCGAGGAAAACATCTGTCACAGCACTGAAACTGTAATCTTGTCCACTGTTGGTTTTCTCACAGTGTCACTTAGTTTTCTAACCTTGGCCTTTTTTTTTTTTGTACAGGTGCCTCCACTTCTTCCAAAATCCGACATTGACCCAGAACACTGTCGAGTTTCTGCTCAGCTGGACGACAATGTGAGTCTGCAGCTGCTCCGTTTCTATTTGACCTGGTTTTCTTTTTTTTCTTTTTTTATTTAAGATTTTAGTTAAAACAGTAAGAGCTTTCCCCCGCCTGTCCAGGTGGACGATAACATCCCTCTGCGAGTCATGCTGCTCCTAATGGACGAGGTGTTTGATCTCAAAGAGAAAAACCAGTGGCTGCGCAGGAACATTAAGAACCTGCTGCAGCAGCTCATCAGAGCCACCTACGGCGACACGATCAACAGGTGAGACGAACGTCGAAGAGATTATAATAAATAACCAACTCCCTAAAGAGTCCAATGGTGACACCTTTTCTTTTGTTTGTGAAGGAAAATTGTGGATCATGTCGACTATATGACATCTCCAGAACAGGTGGCGGAATATGTGAAAAAGTTCAGGTAGCCATTTTATTCCTGATTTGTCTGGTTTTATTTAAGAGGAATTTTGAGTAACCGAGTGTTTCCCTGCCTGCTCAGGGATTCCTACTGGCCTAATGGGATTCTAGCCGAGACCCCACCGCGCCGGGACAAGTGCATCCGCATGAGGACGCGAGTCGCTGCCAAGACCAGCCTGCTTGGCATCATGCCAGGTGAACACTACACATGCATTTTCACGCTTTTCTGATTTTCTCTTCATATACAGTATATACTTTGTAAAAAAAAAATAAAAAATCATATTAGAGCCCCAGTGTCAAGCCGTGACCCTTTGGATCTCAGCCCAGCACTGACGACCACAGCGTATCTCTCTTTTTGCCCTCAGACGAGTTGAAGCACATCATCGGAGCGGACACCACGAGGAAGGGCATCCTCCGCGTCTTCGACATGTTTCAGTACCAGCCCATGAACCGGCGCCTAGTCTACGTGTTCCTGGAGGGCTTCCTGGAGACCATGTTCCCCCAGTACAAATTCCCCGAGCTGTTCGTCAAGCTGCACTCCCGTTCGCCGCGCATTCAAAGATACAGCCAGAAACTCCAGTGCGCCTCGCTGAAGAGGTGACAGGAAAGCACGGGCGGCGTTGGGACACGGGCCGGCGACAGACGCGCAGAGACTCCACAGTGAGGGTGTGTGAGTGAGTGAGTGTGTGGTGAGGAAGGAAGGTGTGGTCGCTACCCTTCCCCTGCCCTCACACACTCCTATAGTGGGGGAGAAAACACTCCTGATGGTTTCCGCTGACACGGAAACTGAAAGACACGTTCTAACACAAATTATATCATTTGCACCAAGAAGCTGAACATGACAGTCTTCTCTTTTAGTTTCTTTTTCTTGTTTATTTTTTGGGACTTTTTAATTTTGTTGAGCTTTACGTTAGCCAGCCAATGCTGCTTTCTTGTGGTTTAGACGCGCAGATTATAAAATACTGCGTTGTTTTTAACTACAGGACTTAATAGTGCAGACCCACACCTTGCCTTACTTTCCCGCTTCAGTCCTCTTTTGTTGTGAAGCCACAGAGCCGTATTCATGCATACCACCGTGCAGTCGACACATGAGCTGCAGAAGCACATATTCTTGTTTCCACTGCAATCAAGCAAATGTCAGAAGCACTGGGTTAAACGGGCGCAGTCCTGTAAATGTGAGCGAACAAGAAAGAGTCTGAACGTTTTGCTCATTTTTCTTTTCCCCCCCCTGCCACTAGTTTTCCTTCCCTCCACGTATGAGCCACATCCCCTTTAATGTCAATAGCCTGTGACAACCAAAGCTCATGCTGTTTGTTTGTGTGTGTGTGTGTGTGTGTGCTCGCTTCTTACTGCTGATCATGCAAAGAAAGAAACCTTTAACGAGCTAAAAGGTGAGGGGAATGTATGCTTCCGATCGGCGTAGGTTTCTGCGCAAGTCTGTGTGTGTGTGTGTTGAGCTGAAAGACGCACCCGTCTTCAGTCAGAAACTGTGCCAGTGTGAGCGAGTGAACCAGCCTTAAATCCATACAACTATATATATAAATATATACACATACAGTGTATACTGACCAAGAGATGCACGGCAGAGGGAGCTCTCCGTCACGCGATCGGACTTTCTGAGAAAATCAAAAGGAGACGGAGATATTATCACTTTTATTCTGAGAGGAAAAAAAAATCTTTTGATTTAGTGCAATATATTTTTGTGTAATGCATGTGCATTTTGATCCACGGTGTACTGAAAATGATCATTCGTAATCTTTTTATTAGGAGAACCATCAAGGCGTCGTCTTAACCCCAACAACTTAACATTCCGTTGTTGTAAAATGTTTATTTTACAGACTTGTTTTATAAGTCTGCGTTTTTTTTTTTTTTTTTTTTTTAAGTGTGCAGAATATGTCCACATATCCCATGCTCACTATCACAGAGTATCTGCCGTGGGTATCGATAAAGTTAGTAATCAATGATCGATCAGCTCCTGCACTACAGCTAGTTCAGAGGTGGTCTCGAACTGCTTCTTTTTAACCTCCTCAATGGTGTTTCATGCGTACAAGATTGTCAGTGCAGAGATCTTCTGACCCGACTGCCTCCACTGCCTGTTTTGTGTGAAGCCCCTCCCCCCAACCCGCTAAAATCAGGTCCAGCAAAATCACAGAAGAGACTGTGGCCAATAGAATCATTGCTAATTAGCACTCACTGTAGCAATTGTGGAAGCCTGGGCAAGCCCGGGTGGACTCTGATTGGCTGGAGCAAGAAGGATGTGAGGCGTCTCTTTAAGGTAGGGGGTTGTCACCTTTAGCTTTCTGCTCAACTCTCCATGCAGGAAGTGTTTTTTTTTTTTTCTTTTGTTTTTGAAACCCCACTATATATGAATCTATGATACAGAAAATGAGTGCATATCTGTGTACATTATGTGTTAATAGTGTGCCTAAATGTACTGTCAACTCTATTTTCATATTTTTCTTTATCCAAGAAGAGAAGAAAAAAAATCCATCGGAACGTCATGATCATTTTACGTGACTCGAAAACGCTTTGGGATTTTAGGGAGTGTTTTGGCATCGTACTCAAAAACGTCTCCTGCTGAGCACTTGTGCTCAAATCAGTATAACACTAATAAAAGGTAACTCAGACTAAAGGAGCCATATTTCCTTTTGTCTTCAGTGTGTTTGCTTTCATTCATAAAAGAGCTGCGGTCACAGTGCATCGGGTGTTCTTTCAGATAGTTCTTTCTGATACATAAGAAACCCCTTGTTGAATTAAAAGTAGTGCTTTATGGGGTATCTGAACATTTAATTAACAAATCCTCTGGGATTAAAAAACACTGAATCTTATTACGAATGCTTTCTTTGAAGTAGTTTGAGCAGTTAAACTAGGAGGCTCATTGATTCCCTGCATTACACTGTAAGGAGCATGCCTTCAGATTTCAATAATAAATACATTAATAGCTGATTTAGTCTTAATTTGCTGTCCAGTAGGTGGTGCAATGAGAACAAATTGCAAAAATTCTCCCAACAGTTTAGCTTTTACTCTCCATATTAGGAACATGTTCATGTTAAATGTCCTGGTCTCCTCAAATAAATCAGTATCTACTAATCAGTGATGCCACATGTTTGGGGGTCAAAAATACCACGTGTCATTGCAAAAAACATACAGTCAGTGAATCTTGGAAGTAGGTGTATTATCGTAGGGAATGTAATTGAAGGAAGGATTAATGCACAAACAAGAATTTTCTTTTCTTCTGGAGTGATGGAGATGGCCGTTTCAGCAAGACCTTTAAGCCAAAGGGCCAAGACAACAAACAAGGTTCCATGAAAAATGAAATGCAGCTGAAAATGTATGGCCAGTGTGGAAGAAATTAGCAATGCACATGACTAGTTTCTCCATAGGGTGTTTCCAACAGAGGCTTTCATATCAAGTTTAAATACATTTTAATAAGCTTTAAAAAGCACCTTTCCCTGACATTTCATTTTATTACATAATTTATGGACCACAATGGTTTGATTTCTTTTCATGGACTGAATGGATGGTTACCAACATCTATTGCAAATCCTGTCTATATTGCCTTTGGAAATACAGCTATTTAGATCATTAGCACTTTTTGTATGTGTAATACTTCAATCAAATGGTGCATTTATGTCGGTTTTAGTACAGTAAACTCTGCATGTACTTCTTGTATCTCCAACTGAGCTTCAAAACAGCATCATCTTGCTGGAGTACAAGACCAATCATTGTTCTGTGTGTCGAATGCAAAGCTCCCATACAGTGACTATTCACATAGCCAAAAAATATAAATCAACGATAGAAGACATTCCAGTCAGCAATCTGCTTCTCTCTGCTGGTGCTCGGGACCAGGCTCTCGATGTCCACATGCGAGTTCCGTCTCGTCAAAATGTGCAGCTCTTCATTCATGGGGTCTTCCGATGCGATTTTCCAACCGGATCGGTGATGACGACCACTCCCCAAGCAGCCAGACCTGTCAGAGAGACGGTGGAACATTTCAGGCTTTAGGTTGTACCGGGTAAAAACAACGTGAAGCGATGCTGAGACTTACTTGCAGCGAACGTGAGCTGTGCCACCGTCCCCATAGAGGTAGGAGCTCCCTTCTTCATTACATTCCTGGCTGCGTGGAACACATAAGCCGCAGACAGAATCAGACCCCCGCCTGAGACGGCCCTGCAGCCCCAGCAGTCCTTAAAAGCCTGGAGGGACTTCGACGGAGCGGCGGTGGACTCGGGAGCCGTTGACATTGTACGTGTAGGGCAGCTTGCACGCTAATGCTAACGGCTAAAAGCGATTAGAACCAAACTGTATTAAGTTTGGTTCGTCTGAATTAAGACCGGCTCCTAGTTCCGGTTCAATTAGAACGCCAAGCTTAAGTATTCAATTTGTTAAATTTGCAGGAAGCCCCAAGTAGTCCTTCTCGGAAACCCTCTTAACATGGAAAGGTCGAGTTGGTCAATTGTTTCCGGGCTAATAAGAGGTTGTTGTATTTTGCTTCCGCTCTAGTTATTTTCAAAATGAAAGCATTATTTAACCACTTGTGTCGATGTTATTCTGTAGAAAAGGGCTGTGTTAAAACTTAAAAAAGTATCTTGTTGGTTTGTGGGTAACGGGGGGAAACCCGCTACTTTGAGATTAATTGAAAGACAAAAGGATTTGGATTACTTTTCTTAACGATGCTTAAATTAATAATAATAATTTTAAAAAAACGATGTATCAAATTGTTCAACATTTTCCTCTATTTTCGCCATTGTTTGTTTTGTATTAATAGACAATACGGTTGTCTATTAATACTATTAATTAGAATTAATTATGTTAATTAGAATTCGTCGGAAAATGTACTCGTCGGTCCGAAAAGGCCAATCGTAACATAAAACTTCCTTAACGAAAAAAAAGTAAGCTTGAAACTAAACATGAATTTATTTGATACAGTTCTTAAACTTCAACCGAAGACAATTTCCGATTCGTTTCTTTTTAAAGAACATTTTAACGCCAAAAATTTGAGAGTTGAAATCACTTTTAGAGCACTTTTATTTTAAAGTGACTTAAAAATAAAAAAAGAAAGAAACACGAAAACATAAAGCGAAATCTAAACCTAGTCGAGGTAAAAAAAAAAAAAAAAAAAAAAAAAAAGGAATTAAAGCTGCAAGCAGCCTCGAACGGCCCTCGCAGCCAAGCGCCGCTCCGGCCTATTGTCCACCGCGGGGTACGAGCAACCGCCGCTTGACGCCAGCCACCACAGAAACTGTCACAGTTTTCAGCGCCTCCGCCCGCACCGCGGAACTTCCAAGTTTCCATCAACGCTTCCCACGTTCTAACACAGAAGTTGTTGCGTAGTTTCCGCGCCCGTCCACCAGGCGGTACGCATCGATGCGTTCGGCGGGTATCCTTCACGATGCAAAAAAACGAGGTGCAGATTCATTGATTTAGCGAGGAAATATAGCTGGCGGATTAATGAAGGGGACGCAGTGGAGTCAAAATACATTTCAATGTTGTTGGGGTGTTTAGAGGTCAACAAAGGTCATACATATCCAGTTTGGCGCCAGTCGGATGATCCACGTATCATTTAGAGCCGATCATATGCACATGGTGATGAACTGCAGTTCGCCATTTCTACACCCCAATGCGGTTTGGTCAGCAGCCAGCATTCACAGAGTTCATCATCTTGTCGTTTTAAGTCAGTATTCACATGATGAAACCCATATATATGATAGAATAACAGTAAAACTCCCAGGAGAAAAAACTGGTGATTGCCTTTGAAAAGTGGGCGGGGCTAGGGTGATTTCATCAAGTGACCATGGAAATGTGTTCAGGACTGTTCTATAGAGAAACACAGGAAGTGTGATGCAGCTGTGATCTTGCATTTGGAAGTTTTTTTAATGTTTATGTTTCATGGCAAATAGTGAAAGTTTTACACTAAGCCACACCCACATGCTTTGATGTTAACTACAACTGAGATCTAAATGCAGTGCAACTTTAACATTTTCCTAAAATGAGTCAGGAAAATGGTAAAGGTTAAGATGTATCAGTTTAATAAACCCTTCTGGTCAGTAACAAACCAAGGGCAATGCACATTCAGAGAGCACAGTTAACTTTCAGCACATTAGAACAAAATCACAGGCTGAATCCCTCTCAATAATTAGGTATTAATCACAGCAAGTGGTCCAAGTAAATATTACAACCCCAATGTATCAGTCTTAGAACTCAGAACGTTGTAAGATTGTCGCTCCCGACAATTGTAACCGATCATCCTGTAGTGTGTGGTGTGTTATGACTGATCGGGTCCAGTCGGTGGAACGTCGGGACCGCTTTCATCTAAAATCGGGGATATTGACTGTCTTTAATCATCTTTGCTCATTCATCGCAATCTCTGTGCGGACGAGACAGAGTCCGGACGAGACAAAGTCGGAGGAAAAAGTTCCTCCGACTTTTTTTTTATTTTTAATGAAAGATAATTATAAAATTATTGCACAGAGTACATCTGGTTGGGAAGCGCATTCCAATCTTTGGTTGAAATGGCGCATTTGATTTTAATCTGCAGTCATAATACAGTTTTAAACAATATAATAAGTTTCAATTAAAGGAGCTGGAATAGGCTACGTTAAGCTTTCGCTGTCAGTTTGATTTTCTAAAAACGAATATGCAGGAAATGCTTTCTTCTACCTTAAGCTGCTCTGATGTTTCAGTCATTCTGTTTTAAATGCATAGATTCTACAACAACATAAACACAGCAAAAAATTATAAAATTATACGTAAACGATTAATTAAATGACAAAAACCGAAAACATTAAAAACAGTATTTTTTATGAAAAAAAAAACTCACCTCATGTTGCGATGCAACAAATATAATCCTTGCTTACGATATCTCCAGTTCTTAATCCAAAGCTTTGATTTTTGATTACGTCTTTTTTGGGTTAAAATAAGTCCGCAAACTAAAGTTTCCACTTCAACGTCGATGTCCATATTTGTTTGTTTACTCCAAATTCAGCTGTGGTAGCGCAGAATTTTAATTTGAAGGTATTTCGTAGCTGGTATTAGAATGTCTCCGAGTGAAACCTCACACTCTTAGAACGAACCCGTTACACCTACGATTTTAAATAGGCTAGTGTGTGTTCTCTCACGTTTTCAGAATTGGCCGACTTTTCTAAAATCGTGTAGTGTGAACTGGGCTTCACTCACCGCATCTCCAGTTACCACTTTTAAGACGAACGGCAATAAAACTCCTCTCCAACAGTCCGTTCCGGCTCACGAACGTGCTGGGTCTGCAGCTCCAAAAACGTTAGCGTGGTCCGGTTTTGTGGCTCCATAAACCATGCAAAATGTTCATGAAAACTTAGCTGCTCCAACAGTTTAGCAAAAAAAATGTACAGTCCACAGCGTAATGCGCCGAACCTCAACCATGAACGGTCTCCGGCCGACTGCCAGTACGTACAGTACGTATTAGCAGAGCTACAGTACAGTGCAGTTCTTCACAACCAATCAAATTGCTTAAATTTGTTTTTGCCCTTGACTGACCAGTAAGGCACAGACGAGGGAATTGATGCATTTACTTGCGGTAGTAAATAACAGTTATTAACAAAACGCTACATTTACTCCGTGTTTTAAGCCAACACAAATTATCTGGGGGCTTTCATATAACATTTCAGGTTATATTTAACCGCTATCCTTTTGAAAATGTCACGGCAGACGCTCTCGCAAAGTTTTCACCCCCTGTCGATCTGTTTTTATAATTGGTGGAGCAACACTGACCCCTACTGGCGAAATACTGATATTGTTCTTCATCCTGTTTATCCGCTGTTTAATTCGTGGAGTGATACTGACCCCAAGTGGCGAATTAGTGAAATGGTTTATAAACAGTTCTATAGAATTATGTTTTCTTTTATTTCTAGCCAAAATTAATGAATGTTTGTTCTCTAACCCACAAAACAAAATGATTAAAAAAAGAAAACTTAGAATTATGTATATTTAAATAATTAATATGTTAACGTGCATAACATAACCTGTATTTCATGGGCTACTGTGGTGTTAGCTGGGCTAAGGTGATGTCATCAAGTGACCATGTAAATGTGTTCAGAACTGTTCTGTAGAGAGACATAGGAAGTGTGAAGCAGCTGTAATCTTGCATTTGGAAGTTATTGAATGTTCATGCTTCACGGCGAATAGTCAACGTTCTCCACGCCGCCACGCCCACCTGCTCCATCGAAGCTGGTCGGGGTTGGAATCCTCAATACACCAACATGTCTTCTGTGTCTCGGCACAGTTTCATGTTGATGAGGTCAAAGGGGTCAGATAGCGACAGTTCACAGTAAAACATTACACTTCCTGTTCTCAGGGGGCGTGGCCTAAGTGATGTCATCATTCGACCATAGGGTATTGTGTAGACCCGATGATGATCAATCACAGAAACTTTGGTGCCTCTGTGAGTTTCTGTGTAGGATATAGCAGTTTATTTTTTTACGGTGAGTAGGTGAACTTTGACCCCTGCTAACCCCCTTCAGCATACTCAAAAACTCACCGTTTTGATAACTTTAGATGGGACATGCCTTATAAGCAGACTGACCGAGTTTGAAGCCGATCAATCAAAATCCCTAGGAGGAGATCAAATACGAAGGCTGTAAACGGCAAAAATGGGGTCAAAATGGGAACTTCAATCAAAAATGGCCGACTTCCTGTGATACTTGCACTATGACATTAATTGTACGATGTCTCTACGATGAAGTAAGTGAATAGCAGAGGGTAAAAAAGGGTGTTTTTACAATTTCTAGGTGGCGCCGTAGAGTCATTTCTGTTGCAATTTTTGCGACGACTTTAAAATACATAAATTTTAAACAGGCTTAAGGCCTCCGCCAAGTTTGGTGAGTTTTTGAATATGATAAAGCCCCAAAAAGCCAATTCATTTGGATGGAAGAATAATAATAATAAACAGTACAAAAACAATAGGCCTTCGCAGCGCTTAGCTGCTCGGGCCTAATAAAAAAAGGAGAATAAGCCAAGCTCTCCTTAGCAAACAAAAATGACGTGACGTTGACTCAGCTGTGCCGACTTTTGGACCCGAAGGAGCGCGCGACGTCAGTTTTCTCTCCAACCGGGGAAGATGCTGCGCGTCGCTCTGCTCCTCCTCAGCCTCGGCGCGACCGGGTCCTCCGGGGACTCGTACGTGGCTGCCGTGTACGAGCACAGAGTCATCCTGAACCCGAACCCTCGCGTCCCCGCGTCCCGTCGCGAAGCCCTGATCCACATGCAGAAGAACCTGGACGTCTACGAGGAGCGGGCCGCCGAGGCGGCACAGCAGGTAGGCTGCTGGACTGGGACGGCTGCAGGAGACGTCCATGAGTGAAGCTGTTGAATAAAGTCAACTGCTACAAGAAAAAAGAAGAAAAAACAAACAAATAAAAATAACAAATCAATGTTATTATCGATCCTTAGCAAAAACACTCTTGTTGACTTTTCAGTTTATTTTACTGAGACCAACTA